CTTTGGAGTAGAGTATTTAGACCTTCTATTATGACCATTTACAGCATCTGGAAGCATATTAGAAGTACTGCCATGCTAAAAATGGTAATTCTAGCTCTTGTTTTTTATAGGAAAGAAAAAGACTCCTTCTCTTTGTAATCACAGGCGCACATGTGTATGTTGGGAAGCGTAAATTGCCTATTTGTCTCACAAGTGGGGGAGACTGGAGACCACACTTTTGGGTCTGAGTTGTTCTGGCTATGTGAAGCAGGTGGCTAGGGAGTAGAAATAAAGCTAGGAATGAATGTGTGGAAGAGCTGCATTTGTTTGCAAGCCATAAAGTGGTGGTACCTGCTCCAGAGTGAGCAGTTTTGGCTTCACTGCACTTCAGACTATTTCAGCAACATCAGCATCATCTCGCCTTCAAACACAGGTGCAGATTTCTCAGCACTGCAGCCGTAGATGTTTTCAGTTCAAGCTGCTGCAGGCTGTCTTACTCCCTGCTGTGGCCTTGCCTAGGTTGGGGAATACTCGGTATGTTGGCAGAACTATCTGAGGAGCAACTATGCTAGATCTGTGTCATACATAGGAATTTCAAGGGGATGAAAGAGGATTACTGTATTGATCTTGTGGTTATGGCAGCAGGCCTTTACTGTGCAGTAATTTGGGGTTAAGTCAGAACTTAATGCTTGGTACTATGTAGGGCACCGTAGTGCTCTGAAGTACCCTACAGGCTATCAACTGAAAGGAGTACAGGGAGATAAAATCCAATCAGAAGATGTATTTAATTTTACATGCATTGTGGCTTTAAACTATTCAAAATTTTATTGATTCTCTGTTAAGTGTCAAATTTTTTTTATCATTATTCGTCTGGTTTCAATTTTTTTCCTACATAATTTTTCTGTAAATGATACAAGGTAGCCAAATTATGCTGGTGATTAAAAGAGAGGAAAACCATAGAGGTGACCATAGAGGAAGATCTCTTCTATTGATATGAAGGATACATAATGTTCTTTTCCTTCATTCAAGATACTCTGCTGCATAAACACATCCAAGACTCTGAGCCAAAAATGATAAAAGCTGAGCATATTCTATTATGGTACTTCTGTAAACTTTCCTCTTTTCTTCCTTTCATCACAAGGCACCCTTTGTACCTTGGGGTATAAAGCTAGAAACAAACACTAAATAAAACCAAAACAAAACAAAAAAAATTTTATTTAACTTGTTAAAACTTTCAAACACAGTACCTCTGACAGCAGCTCAGTTACATGTCACTGTCTATATGCTCAGAGGGTGTAGCATAAGCCTGTGGCTTCAGCAAAGCTGTGTGACTTACAGTCAGTAGTAAGGCCAGTCCCAATACACACAGAATTGGCTTCTGGTAAACACAAAGACATACTTACTTAAAAAACAGACTGAATCGTTTAAATTACATGTCCAAGGTTTTCTTAGTTACACTATTTGGAAGCTTCATGTGCCTACAGCCCCTGAGAAGAGAGCCTGCTATAACCTACTTCAATGCAAAATCAGCCGATCTGAGCTGCCACTGACAGTGGTTGAGCTAAATGAAGATGCTTTATTTTTTAGTAAAGCATCCTCAGCTTTGGGGGTGTTAACCATCACCAAAAGGGAGGCAATAAAAGATGCTGTCGACAACAACTTCTTAAATGCCCCAGCTGATTTCACGAGGCAGTATTCAGCAATGGCTTGGTTTAAACTGATTAAGGTCTTTGACATAAAACTAAATCAGGAAGTTCAATGCAGAATGGAATAAAAATTATTTATAAGTTTAAATTTGGTTTAGCAAAGCCATAACAATTTCTTGCAGACTCAAATAAAAACCATAAGCTTGCCATTTGAAAGAAGAAAGAGGATAAGGCAGGCTTTAATTTTGTCCTGCTATCCCAAGAAAACACAGTTTATGATAGCATCTTGGTTACAAACATGTTTCTATTCTTCCCACTGTCCCAAGATCAATTTTGATTTTGCTAGCCAGTTTTGTAAAACTGATTGAGGGATACCAGTCTTAAAGACGGTATGTTTCAGCAATTCCTATGCAAACTTATGTCAGCATAAACAAATAGAGAGGTACACAAACTTTGTGATCTATCAAGGAGGCAATGTTAAGTTAGTCATATCAGATACAAAACCCTAAAACAAAACAAAACAGATTGAAAAGAGACATAGGAAAATAATTCTTGTAAGCTCCACTTGCAAGTTCTTGGTTCCTTCAGAGTATCCAAGCACATCTAGAACCAGAAAGAGCAACATCACAACTGCTTGTTCCTGACAGTTTAAATTGTTTGTACCACTGTGATCTGCCCCATCTGTGTCATGCCCCATTTTGGAGTCTTTGTTTTGGTTTTGTTTTGTTCCTTGAGCTGTGTATTTTGCGTGGTAGGAAAAGGGAAGACCCTTGACTTCTGCAGCTTTCCTGTATGTGCTTAGAATAATAGGGCATACATGACCAAATCGATTCCTGGTTAAATTCTGCTGAAGTATGATAACTGGGTTTACAGTCCTGGTGTCTGGCTTCTCTCCCATCAGCAAAGAAGCACTTCCATTGAGTGTGCTGGTGAATGTGGCCACAGTAGGGCTCCAGTGTACTACATGACTACAGAGAAGGACAATGCAGACATCTTCCTGTTCAGAAAGTCAGCTGTCCTTGGTGTGCTTTTAAGCACTCTAGCAATTTGTGATAGTTACAAAAGAAGAAAGGGGACATATCTGAAGTTCAGGAAACAAATCATGTCTGTAGTTTGTCCTTTCTGGGCTTTAGTTTGTCACCAAAAATAAATCCTTCCTAGCCAAAGCTGGCAGGTTCTTGGTATGTTTTAATGATTATGAATCACGGAAAAGAGAATGCTGACCTCAAAGACACTGTCTATCCTTGTTTGAGTCTATACAACAAAATGAATCTTGTCAACCACACCTACTGCAGCTTTAAAACAATTTTCCACACAGCGTTTACAGGGATGCAGACTTTAAACTTTTGAGGATACTGGGACAATGGGAAAATTATAGCTTGTGTAGGTTGTTCACTTGTTTTTACTAGGGAACTTCTCTGAAAATAGTTTTACTATATTGCTGTTTTTTGACCTGGCATCACCCAAATATTACATTGAAACCTTTGAAAAGCCTTTAGGAAATTTTGAGCTTGGCACTTTCTCTTCTTTACTTACTTCTTCTTAGGGGTATGATCCCACAAACTCTTTGTACACATATTTTACTGTCCTTAATTTCCTGTACAGGCACACGGGACACAGTAATGACAACATCAAACCAGGTACAGCTCAGGAAAAAGAAAGGACTGATTCATTGCCTGAAAACAGGGAATTGGTAACGAGATAAAAAGCAGTTCCGCCAGTGACTTAAACCTGCTCATTCTGCTGTCAGAAAGAAGATTATTTCTACTGCTATTTGCTCAGATAGCTCTGTGAGAAACACCTAATGACTGCCACACTAACACTAAAAAGTTGTTTGAAAAAGGGTCACTTCTCAGGCTGTTCTTGCTGTATTTCTGGAGGTGCAAGGATCACTTCCACTATCTTTATTTGCACATGTTTGGGAAGAACAGTTAATCAGTCACAATATGGTGTTTCCTCTGAGCAACTCAATCTCCCCTCCCCAGTCACAAACTGCTAGATGCTTCTAAGATACATTCACCTTCTCTGGTTTGGCAGCCAATAGTTCCTAAGCCAAGCCCTCACCTAAGAGGCCACAGATCCAACCTCTTCCTCAAACCAGCTGAGGTTCTGCTTTGCTGCTGCCACGTGGGAGCTGCTCCCACACTTCGCCTCCCATTTTAAGAGAGGTAGAAGCTGAGTCCTTCTGCAATGGCTGGGGAGAAGAGGCCCACCTTCCTTTGCGTTTCACGGTAGAAAGGAGGCAGTGCCAGTCTTCAGCAAACCTTGGTGATTTATTGCAATCTTCTGCAAGCCGGTGAAGCAGGCAGACCTCTCCCCCATACCTTCCTCCAGACAAGATACTGAGCAGTTCCCAGGGACTTTTGTCAATGCTTGCCATAATGTCCTTGTTCTCAGAAGAACACCTTCAGTTTTGCATGGTCCTTTGTCTTGCATCTTTGTACAGCTATGTGGTTCCTCCTGGGTTTCTGTTGCTTGAAAAGAGGGAGTCTGGAGTTTTGTTCACTAAGTCTTAGTGAAAACAGGATTTCCCAAACTCAGTCAGCATTCCTGCTGGGTTTGAAATTCCTCCACTTAAGAATAAAGAGTTTGGCACACGGACATTTAATTTTGAGTTGGGTGGCACTGAAACAGGTCTCTGCTCTTACTCCCCTCTGTTGAAAAATGGTCAGTTGGGTATGTGTAAGACCCTGAAGTCTTTGTTAGCATGAAAAACCAAGAGCTCTTTGTCCAAGCTGTATATATAGACCCAGCTGTGAGGGTGGGTTTGGCTTTTTGTTTGTTTGTTTGCTTTGTTTGGTGGGGCTTTTTTCAAAAGAAGACAGTCAAATCAGTGTAAGTGTAAAGGTGGATTTAACTGTATGAATGGTTGTGTATCAGCCTATTCCGATAAATGCCACGGATTAGATAAACCAGAAGCCCCTTTAGCTGATAAAACTGCAATATGAATGCCATTACTTACCTAATCCTCCAACTCTGAGGGAAGGGATCATGCCCTTTGGCCTTCGCTAGTGTGGTAAAGCACTATGGCTGTGGAGGGCAAACCCCTCCGTAACACTATCTACGAGGAGTGCTGCAAAAGAAGGTCGTGGGGGTTGACATTTTCCTGGTGATTGTTATAGGCTCCGTGACAGATCACAGCTTCGCATTTGTTGCCTAAAGTAAAGTAAGTTTTCCACCAAACCCGGCTAAAGTTCGGTGTAGGATCTGGCCTCTTCCCGGTAGCTGTGAGGAAGGGGGCTGCCTCTCAGACGGGGCCCCATGGGTGGGGGCTGCCGTGGCGGGCTGCCCTTAGGGCTCCCAGGCAGCTGAAGGGAGCTGCGGCGGGGCCCGGCCCCCTCCTCCTCCCCGAGCCCCGCGGGGTGCTCCCTGAGGGCGGGCAGCGGCGCAGAGCCGTCAAGAGGGCAGCGCCGCCATTTCGGTCTCTATTGCTGCTCCACGCCCGCCAGGGGGCGGCCTCCGCCGAGGGCCTCACCACGCGCCGGGGGCCGCGCGGCGGGAGCCCGGTACCGGACGAGTGGCAGCGCCGCTGGGGGTCGTCCTCCGCGGACAGCCGCGCCGTGCTGTCGTCTCCGTTCGGTGTCCGTTCCCTGTCCGTCCTCCGGGGAAGACACCTGGGCGGGCGGCGGCGCCCGGAGGGGTGGAGGTAAGGCGGGGGCGGCTGCGGGGGGGGGGTCGGGTCAGGGCGGGTAGAGGTCGGTCCCTGCGAGGGGAGAGGTCCGTCCCGCCGCCCCACGGGCTTCCCGCAGTGACCGGGTTGCCGACTGCGACGCGCAGCCAGCGCTGCGGCCGGGCGCCCGTTCCCCGTCCGGTTCAGGTCCAGTGGAGGTGTCGTTCCCTGCCGCCCCAGCTCCTCCCAAGCCAAACGCGAGGCTCGACCACTGGCCACCCCTGCAGGGAGGTTCTCCAGGTCCCCGCGCTCGTCGTGGCCCGCCGGCCAGGGCCTTCGCCTTCGGATGTAGGGGAGGGACCCCTGTCCCCCCGAAACGGCAGGTGTGCGCTTGCGTCCCTGTGGCTACGCGTGACTCCCCGGTAAGCGGTAGTGTGGGTACAGCACTTAACTGGCCAGCAGCACTTGTAAAGGTCCTGCAGGCTTCCCCCCTCCCGGGGCTCCCCCACTTCGCCTTGTCTCCAGAAGGTGGGTCCCTGTGTGCCTTCCTGCAGAGCTTTGCTCACGGAGCTGTTGGTCTCTAGAACTTGCGGTACGGAGAGTGCCTGGAAACTATCGAATCCAGGCGCACCTGGCAGGACGCTGTGGCTCCTGCTGCCCGCCGTGTCAGGCGCTGAGCGGCGAGCGTGCACCAGGGTCAAGAGAGAAAGCAGGAGGCAAGTACTCGTCAGACTGAGGTTTGGGTTGTATTTCCCCCTTTATTTAAATCCGGTGTGGTGTCCCCCTGCCAGCCCATCGTCCTGCTGCACCGCGCTCTGACGGTGGTGAGATGCAGAGCCCTGCCAACCGGTCCTGTCGTACCCGTGTTGAGCAAAGGGGTGGGAGTTTGTCTTCTGACACGACAAACGCTGAGGCACAGCACGTTAAAACCAGCAATTTTGCTGCAGTTCTTTAATGTTGGGGCTGAATTTGGTGTTTCAAGAAACTTGGCATGCAGCTAATCTGCCAGGTGTTTCAGTTGTGGGGAGACAGGCTCAGGGTGCCGGATTTTGCTTTTGGTTTGCAGGGTTGCTCAGTGAAAAATGGTTTGTGTTAAACTCCTTGTCCATTAGTGGAATGCAGGATTTGAAATCTCTGCAGGCATCACAAAGTGACAACCTGAGAGCTAGTCTTGAGAGGCTGGCCCTAGGCTGGTTGTGGAGAAATCAGTAATTGCCGGTGGAAGGACCAGCAAACCCTAGAGGTACCTGCAGTTGGCTTAAAAGAGAATGGCTGCAGTGCAAGTGCAGAGTGGTCCTCGCTGGCAGAGGCTTCCTGAGAGTCCTGCCTGAGGCTGATTGTCTTCTAGCAAGACTGCTGCCAGCTGGCATTTAAAGCTGTAGAGGCCTTCCTGCCTCTACTTGATGGTCAGATCAACCTGTTCTGGGGCTGGCTGTGGGCAGTTCTCATAAACAAAATGTTCTAATTGGTGCAGAGGTGTGTCCTAAACCAAGTTAGAGCAAGAACAGGTTACCTTTATGATTATCAGATGGATAGAGGGTGATTGTGGATCCTTCCCACCCTTGCTTAGATTGCAGTGATTTCTTACACAGACAACACAATTGTTTCTGTTCTCCAAAACATTTAATTGTCTTTTTACGCACAAATATAATTTGTACATCATGAGGGAGACTCGTGAGAAAATGTTCTGGGCATTCTCAGTCTGGAGAGTTTGTGGGCCAGGTGCATTACAGTAGCTAGATGGAGAGCCTGTTTCCGCTTCTTCCACCATGGCAAAGCATGTTATTCAACATGTGCAGATTCTTCTGACTGGACCATCATTTGTGACGGTTTTGCTTCTTTGCTCTGTGGGGTAAAGAGCATTCCTGGCACCAGAAAAAAAAAGGGGGAAACTGTTCTTTTGTAGCAGAGAAATAACGCATCTCAAAGCACATCTCAAAGAACAGGGCAGGGGAGAAAGAGCAGCACAAGGTAGACAGGGTATAGCTAAGTAATACTGCATTCCAGAAAGTGCTAAAAAGCAGGATATGAAAGCAGAACAGTGTGATGTTGTTTGGCATCAAGCAGTTTGGCATGATGATTTAATGCTGTTTGCCACCGTATTGGTGTAATAGCTGGTGCTGCTTAAAGTGCATTAGTGAGTGATGTGAAACTTGGGACTGGACCAAACCATTTAAGCTCCTTTGCTGATATTTCTCTCGCTATAAATGTTTCTTTATCAACTGTCAGCTAAGTACTCGTCATCATTTGAGATCCCTGAGGAAGGTACTGTGTTCTGGAACAGAAACTGAAAGCAGCAGAGAGGGCCAAGCATCCTGGAAAGATGGATCATAGTTATTTGGAGTAACAGTTGTTCAAAAATGTATCAGGAAAAATGCGGTGCTGTTCTTTGTTTAATATTCAGTCTTTATCATGAGTCAGGTAAACTGAGGTCTGGAATAGTTTATAGATGGAGCACACTGTTTTTATGTTTCTGATTTAGGATATTATCTCAGGATTAGATGCTTCAGTAGTACCTATGACAGACATGAGTCTTGTGAGCCTCTTGTGAGACAGGGGCTTAGGCTTGTGCAGGTGAGATGGAGACAGCTGAAATAAGAAAAATATAACTGCAGTTTTAACTACTGTACAATTAAATTTACTTCTAGACAAATTAGTATCTTACTACTGCAATAAGCTTCTTTGGTGATGGGTAATTAGTATATTAGTATACTAAAGAAAAAAGGCTTCTGGGTGAACTGCAGGTATGGCTGAAGATCAGTTGTACACAAAGTAACAAAGAGACTCTTTAAAAAAAGTTTGTACTGGGTAACAGTAAGAGGGGAGGTTTTGCTCACTGTTCTCCTGTAGCTTTATTCAGTCTTGCTGCCACACTCGCCTTTTGTGGTGGTTGTCATATGCAGTGGGTATGCTTTAGTTTAAATCTTTACCTTTACAAAAGTATGAATTTTGTTATTGGTTTTGTTTGGATAATTTCCTTTTGGTCTCGTGAGCTAAGGAAAAGGTTCAACAATGTCCTGGGTCTGAGCAGTCTCAAGCACAACTACAGCCTGCATGAAGAATAGATTTGAGAGCAGCCCAGAGGAGAAAGACTTGGGGGTGTTGGTTGATGGGAAGATCTACATGAGCCGGCAGTGTGTGTACTTGCAGCCCAGAAAGCCAGGCATATCCTGGGCTGCATCAAAAGGGGTGTGACCAGCAGGTGTAGGGAGGTTATCCTGCCCCTTTGCTCTGCTGTCATGACATGCCACCTGCAGTCCTTAGCTCAGCCCCAAACACAAGAGGAATGTGGACCTGTTGGAGTGAGTCCGGAGGAAGGCCATGAAGATGATCAGAGGTCTGGAGCACTTCTCCTGATAAGACAGGCTGAGAGAGCTGGGATTGCTCAGCCTGGAGAAGAGGAGGCTCTGGGGAGACCTTAGAGCAGCCTCCATAACTAAAGGGGGCCTACAGGAAATCTGGAGAGGGGACTTTTTACAAGGCATGCAGTGACAGGACAAGGGGGAATGGCTTTAACCTGAAAGTGTGTATATTAAAATTAGAAATAAGGAAGAAGTTCTTTACTGTGAGGGTGGTAAGGCCCTGGCACAGGTTGTTGAGAGAGGTTGTGGCTACCCCATCCCTGGCAGTGTTCAAGGCCAGGTTGGACAGAGCTTTGAGCGACCTGGTGTAGTAATATGCAGTTTATTCAGTTACCTGGTAACAGAGGACCTTGCCTGTCTTAAAAACAAATCTTTCCCTATTGTTGTGAGCATTGGTTTTGGATTTTTGCTTTTTGTGATTTTACACTTATTAACATTTTGGGGTACAAAAAAAAAATTAAGATATATCTATCATAATTATGCAGCTCTCAAGTTTTAAAAGAAATGTGCACAGATAGATGAGTGCAGTCTCTGAATCAGGGACTGGAGGTAAAACAGCTGGGGAAGGCTTGACACCAGTCCTTGATTGGATGGTGCACTTAGTGTGCTGAAACCAGTGAAGTGCAGCTGAGAGCTGTAAGAAATGAAGTTCCATTATTTCTCATCCTTTGGTCATGTACTCTTACTCCAGCTCTAAATTTTGGGAGGACTTCAATTTGTCTTTTCCATCTCACAACTGTTTGTATTTCAAAGCAATCCAACCTTTCACTGACCAGCGCAACATGGTACAACTGCTAGCACTGAGCGTTTCAGGTGGTGCTTCCCTAAAAAATATGGAGTTTCATTTTTTCTTTTTTTACCTAGGAACATACTCAAGAAGCTGTCCACTTTTGTAGTCACTTATTTTTTCTTAAAAGAATTTTTAAGTGACTTCGAATCTCTGTACTAAGAGTCTTAGAATACCATTTTTACTTTCTTATTTTACTTCCCGTCCCCTCCCCCTTTTTTCTTGATGGAAGTACCCACTGACATGGTAACAGAGTGCTTGATAAGGTAGATGTTGAAATAGTGTGTATCCAGAGTGGTATCAAAACCGACAATAAAGAAAAGCTTGGACAAATAGACATGGGCTTGTTTCTTTGGATCTCCAGTTACAGTACTCAAAAAAAGTTGAAAAAAAGCACCAAACAACAAATCAAGTTTAATTGTGAAAGCTGTTACATGTGGCAACAGTCATGTAGAATTTTTCGTAGAAAAGTGCGGTACTTAATTTCTAGACACTGCTTTAAAGCAAAAGGTTGAGATTTGAAGTTATTTGACTTCAAGTAGTGAAAGACCATATTCAGTCTTAGCCAATGCAACTCTTTCCACAGGAATAGAAAGTTGAAATATAAAAATATTCCCATTTTTAACACTGAATTCCAGGCAGGGAATATGAAGATAATATTGCCTATAATAACTTCCTTTTTCTTTTATGGTATATAATTAGCTTGTAAAAGCAAAATTTTTTTGCAGAACGCCAACATAGGCAATTCTTAAATAACTGTTCCCTGTAAATGTGTAGCTAACTGCAGTCAGTTAAGGTCACCTGGATACTTCAGATTATCACCTAATGAGCACAGGGCTTTCCTCCTTTGGAAAAAAAAAAAAAGTCAACAAAACCAAAACAAAACA